AGAATCACCTGATGTTTGTCATTGCTCATATTTTCAAGGTTAGTCATTATTTTATGTAAGAGTTTTGAATGTTGCAATGCAGGCACATACACTTAAAGAGCAAACTGTTCTGCTTCACAAGGCCCCCACAATGGGTAATGATAAGCATTGCACTTTGGGTGGTGGTGCTTCCATCCAGTCTAAGTTAAGACTTACCATTCCAAGAGAACCAGAATTGGAAACTGCACAAAGGGCTCGTAGGATTATGTGAGCATGTCCCTGTACATTAGAATTTGATGATGAATTCACGCATGGAGTCTTTAAATATGAAAAAGAAGCATCAACAAATTTCAAAATATATATTTGTGGTATTTTACAATTGCAGGATTAAGAAAAATTCAGATGCTGGGGAGGGCATGCTCCTGATGGCACCCAAGTTCAAAGCCCGCCCTTTGAACCGAAAAGTGAGTACATGTAAAGGGTGTCCTTGTCAGTATGGATAAAGTCTATTATCTAAGTTAAGCATTCCACTTTGCTGTTTCCCTTAAGAAAATATTCACTGCTTTTGGTCTTCAGATATTTGAGGCTCCATCAGTGCCACTGCCACAGAAAAGCATACCGCGTGTGCCAGAATTTCGTGTAAGTTGCCTGGGACAGTGATTTATCACCCGTTTTTCTCTACAAATATCCCAATTGAATGAATTCTTGTTTTTCTCTGTTACTAATTTATCTTGGACTTCATTCTGATTAGGAATTTCATTTGAAGACGACTGAGAGAGCTATTCAACATGCAGCTGCTGCTCCATCATTGCCAAGCCATGTGGATTCCAACAATGTAACTTTTGGATTTGTGCATGTGTGTGTGTGTGTTCCTGTTTTGTTAGCTCTTTCTTTATAGCTAAAGTACACTGTAATCCAATGGATTAAAGAACATCATAGCCCATTGGTTCATCTTAATTCATTGAAATGATGGATGTTGAAATAGCGTGGGATCCACCAAAACCTGACATGACCCAATGTTGAGTTCCACTCTTCCCATCACTACTATTCATCATTTCAATGTACAGTGATGACCAATGGTTTATGACTTTTATATTATCTGTTGGACTTATATTATATATTCCCTTGTTTACGTTTTTGTGGAATGTTACATTTTGTGGATTTTGTGCCAGGGACCCAATTATGCTCCCATGGAAATGAATATTATGTTTTGAAATTTTCTCTTGATAGCTTTTACTGCTGCTGCATCTGATCAAAATATGCGCATATGGATGATCCTAATATTGCAGGTTGCAAATAAGCATAAGCACGCATCTTCCAATCAAGTTGGCACTATAGATCTCAAAATGTCATGCCATCAAGCTCCACATCTCGAAAAGTATGTCAAATAGATTAAATTTAATTTCATGGATATTCTACTTTCATCTTTTTTAGTAGAATATTTTCTTGTTGCTTGCCGGGCATTAGTGTAATACCATTATGTATATTTCAGGGTAATTGTCTGTGATTTTCTTTTTCCTATTTGATATTTTAAGCGAATAGTACTTTGTTCCTTTTGTCATATTGTTGGGCCCATTTTCTGTTTTCTTCAATAAGTATTCTCTCTGAGAAACACATTAAGAAATCTGTGGTCCTATTTTCTGTTGAAGCCATCCTCAGAATGAACGTGGATTTCGTAACTGAATATATGGAAAATATAAGATAATATTTTTTTATCTCATGCACAATCACTTATAATTAGATTCATAATTTAAATATATCTATGCAAATAATGTCAAAAAGAGAAGAAATTTCTTGATCATTGCATAACATGGTTAAAAAGTGCTCACATAATTTATTTCGGTTACTTGTCCTCATGTTCCTTTTTCTCTTAATATTTTCAGGATTCCTTTTATATTAAGAAAACACACTTTTCAAAGAAGTCAAACCCTCAAGATGTCTTACTGACATAGTTGATGTGTAGGAGTTTGGAAACATCTGCATCGCCAAACAAATTTGTTGCTGCCAAATTCTTCTTCTACAAAGATAAACTTAACTTTTTCATCTCATGAAAACATTATCTGCATATACATGTGCAAAATTTGGTTTTTTGTTTCAGCTATAGGGAGAGTATTCAATGTGGGACAAGGTTTCTATGAGTTGGCCGACTCACTTATTCAAATGAGTCCTCTCTCTAAAATCTATTTTAAATGTAGATTTTGGATTCAAAATTTTTAGGAATGTTTAATCTCAACAATGATAAATGTTAACTTGAAAAAATAAATTTAAAAAACCCAAAAATAAAATTTTTGACAATTTTAACAACGTCGATTTTAAAGATTTTTGGAACTATCATTTTCCAACATCCATCTCCATGATGGATGTTACATGCTTCAGGGGACTCCACTGTAGAAATGCATCCCCTGACGCACGAACAACTTTTCCTTCAATGAGTGCTCTGAAGTTTCCTGCAGTTTGACCTATTTTCAGCCAAGGTTCTGAACGTCAGCTGGCTGATGTTGGCATCGGATGGCTAGGTGATGTGCAGCCACTGTAGAAAACTTCAGTGAGCGCACTTTTGTACCTTGTTTCTATTGGGTATACGTAGTGTATTAATCTTCTTCTTTCTTGGAAACTTGATGAGCGCACTAGGATTTTATTCTTAAAGGTGTGTAATTTGTCTTTGCTTAGACATAAAGTTGTAGATGAGCCTAAACAAGAACAGCGAGAAAGAATTGCAACATTTAAAGCAAGGCCGCTTAATCCCAAGGTATAATTTTGATTTTTTTTTTGACATGTTTGTAAATTGTTCTTCTCCTAAGATTCTGTCACATGATGGTTTATGCCATTTTGAAGTGCAGATTCTTTCAAGTAAAGGTGATATTGGTATGTTTAAGAATTGCAAGCGTGAAGCCACAAAACCCACGGTATATTTTAATGTGCTCAATAAGATTAACTTATCGTGTCAATTGATCTTTTTTACTCTTTATATGATTATATCCATTTGTGTATTGTAGTTATTGATCTAATTTTATGCTTCCATAGGAGTTCAGCTTTCCTACAGATAAAAGGTTTCCTCACCATAAACCTCCAATTGATTTGTTTTCCAAGGTAAATGTCGTATCTGCAGAGTTACATATACCCCATGTCCTGGGTCCTTAAATCTTGTTTTGTAACTCTCTTATGATTCTTTTTGCCTAAACATTGGAGAAAGAGCTTTTTTTAGGCTGAATTGCTTTATTGCTGAATTGATTTATTAATTCATCTGTACTACACTTCTACTTGATTGTCAGCTTTCTCTGAGATCTGAACACCAGCCCAATGCTGCATCTCAGACGACAGGCTCTCAACATTATCAGTTACCTTTCAAGGTCAATGTTCTTATTCGTTTGGTCTTTTTCGCATCTTTTGGATTCTTGTTTTCCATTTGAAGCAAAGTCTTTTCTTTTAAGTTCTGTGTTACATGCAATTTCTCGATGTATGCCTCTCAAGTAGTTTCACAGGTCTATATGTCATTCAGGCATGTGGCGGCTCAAAAGAAAATGTGACAAATGCAACTAGGCAAGAAGGCAAGGTGTGTTTACAGTGATATTTAATGGATTATAGGGCATGACCTGCAACTTGATATGCTGGAGTGTTTATTGAATAAATATGTTACCATTTTATTGTATATTAGGAATAGGGTAATCCAGTAAATAAAGCATGTCCTATATTAATAATTTGTTCCTTTATCCACACACCCAATTTTTTGCTTGATAATAATCCTTCAATTGTGTTATTTATGAATACATGCCTGCAAAACATGTTCTTATTTGTGGATGATGCGTATGAATTTTGAGAAGCTACAGAGTCTTCAGGAGAAGATGAAGTTCGGCAGAAATGGTGGGAAGAAGGATATTCAATCCCAGTCCAAACTATACATGTATGTATATGGATCATTCCATTGGGAAATAGAATGCTGTTTCATATGACGTTATAGTGATCCTCGATGAACATTGCATAGTCGACCCTTTTATTTCTATCCAATAATGTTTGTCCTGATAAATGTAAGTCCGCTGTAAAGCGTTTTACTTGAACCAACATGATTCCTACAGGATGTGATATTCGCTCAAATTTATATTGTATGATTTGTGCTCACCAAGTTTGTCTTTTGTAATCTTTAATTATGAGAGGCAACATTTATGATCATTTGTTATTATTAATAAGCAACATTGATCACTAGAAATGCCATCTGTTGTGTGTTGTGCTATTGGATTTAGTCAGTATTCTTTTACATTTCAAATCACAATTTCTTTGTAAGGTATTTTTAGTGATTTAGCACTAGGCACTGATTAAGTTATGTATGCACCATATGAAGAGCTATACATGTATCACACCAGATCCTGACGGGAACATTAATTATAGGGTAAAACTTGATGCTATTGAACAATAGAATTGGAAAACAATAGGGCAATATTAGATAATCTTGTCTGCATGTGGTCAAAGCTTTTTACCTTTGAGGTTCATCCCAAAGATAAAACAAGCTGACATACCCCTTTTCCATTTATTTGGAGGGAGAGGGAAAATTTCCGAGCCAATCTCTAATCATGCATATGTAACTTGTTTTATTGTCTTCATGAAAATTTTCTCTAATTTATGCACTTGATTAACTTTATCCTGTATTGCTGCCTGCAGCAATCAAGATCATGCTGCCAGTGATCAGAGATTTCCTTTTAAGGAGGTGCATGAGCAGATGGTGTTTGGCTATCAAACCGATCGAGAAACCTTACCTCTGGAACAGGTGCGCGCATGTAATTATCAAAACGCAAGAACAGATTTGTGCATGTATTTATGCATTTCTGAAATTGTCATCCTTGGTTCAAAATAAATGTGATTCATTATTAGATCTACCTCCTGTTAATCTCCTTTAGCATATATAACATAATCATATTGTTGCAAAATTAATTTATTCTTTTCCCTACTTAATACCTTTGTTGTACGAAGTCTCTAATTACGGGATGATGCCTTTCAGAGGAGAGCCATTTTCGGTCAAGGGCGGTAAGGAAAACTAGGAGTCTCCCTGAACGGTATATTTCCTTGCTATGACTGTTTTGGATTACTATAGTACAGATAATAACAAAAGAAGAAAAGCACATTGACAAATGCTTTTTGATAATGACGATATTTTCACTGATAATTACAATTTTATTCTTTTGTTTTATTTCAGAATTCCTCAGCTCCTGGGCTTTGATGTTATTTTGGGCTTGACATTCAAGTCATTTGAAGTGCGCATAATGAGAAAACGCAAGCACTTTTCCTCGGTTCTTTTGATCTCATGAGCTGGACCATTGCTTGGGGCTTCCCACTTGAAGAATGCATTGAGAAGTTGAATGTGCATGACCAATTTTGCTTGAGATCCATTCAAGAGGTAAGGTTGATGCACTGATAAATTGTCCATGCATGTATTCATTCATAAGGATGTACCATCCGGGAATTGTACAGCTTCCATGTTCACTTGGGAACAATATCTAAATATATGATGATGTATTCTTTTGTACAAAGCCGCATTATTCATCTAACTATAGTCTATTTTTTAATGGTACTGTTGTTATAGACTGAAAACAGTAGATAATCCCCGATGGCTAATTTACCAGGATTTCAGATGGTGCCAGCTCTACTATAAATCTGCTCAATGTAGGTATATACACCTTGTGCACATGCCTTTTCCACATCGTAAAATGTTTTTATACACCTTATGCACATGTCAAATTTGTCGTTTATTAATTTGAAATTCGCATAACTTTCTAAGTTTCTTTTCTTTCCTTCTTTCTTAACCTCCAAGGTTCTTATTAGCTTATCTAGACTTCCATCTTTTTCCAAGTTAGTTCTTGACTGAATTGTAGTTGACCAATTGGGCCTTGGTCAACTGTGCTACAGCTTTAATCCAAAAGCATGGATCCAATTATTTCAGAAATAATTACACAATTTATTCAACTATATATATATATATATATATATATATATATATATATTATTA